AAAAAACTTTGCACTAACCATTTCATTTGTGAGTCAAGCATAAAGGAGCTGGTAAATGTCGAAAAGAATGGTCTCTTTTTCTCTTCATCTGCAGAATTGGCCGATGAACTCATGTTAAGCTTCTCAAGATTATGGATTTGAAGAGCTTGTCAACATATTAAACATGGGTTACACTTTAGAGTACAAACTTTTCTCATCTAAACTGTTGTACTTTGTTTCCTTTATTATCTTAATTATCCTACTGGAGAAATTAATCTTTTTTTTTTTGTTATTTTTCTTAAAGTTGTTGTTCGAGGGTTTTCCAGAAAATGTGATGCTTTGAGGTCGATGAGGTCAAACTTGATGGAAATGGTTTCTTCAGTTAGGTGGGCAACAACATGGGAAGAAAATGCCAAGCCATTGATATATGAGGTCGAAATTGAAAATCGTTTTTTTGAATATATTTATATATAGATATATATACTCGTTTGGCTGGCCATTAACTTGTCCATTTTCCAAATGACTATTCATTAGACCATTGCTTTTACAGGTGATATCTCAAAACACCAGCTGAATGTGCAGAATTGTCGAAATGCAAAATGAAATCGAATCACTGGTAAATACCCTTCTTTCTTTCCTTTTTTTTTGTTTTGTTCAGACTTTCTCTCATTGTATAGATAATGCAACCCCAAAATGGTCTAGAAGTGTACTGAGTTACTTATCTAAGGTTTAATCACAAAAACTACCCTGAGGTTTAGCCTAATCGGAGAAGAGCCAAGCTACCTTTCAACTTGACATTGATTTATCNAAAAACTCGTGCTCTTTCTTTAGACGGGTCGATTTTGAATGTTTTGGAATGTTATAATCTTCTACTTCTGCATGTAGAGTGCAGTTAATAAGATATCATTCTGAGGTAATGAATGACTCTTTGCAAATTAGACCAATATGATTTGTTTATGTGTGGTATATGTATAATGTTATTTTGAATGTGATATTTAAAAAATAAAAAATAAAAGTGTGATAAATATGTAAAAGAGCCTATAACTTGTTTCAAGATTGATATTGACCCCATGTGCTAAATGGGATTTATTGGAGAGGAAAAGTTGTAATCTAACTACATTTGGTTATTTTAAAGATCCATATAATATTCAAAATAATTGTTGATTTATTGGTTTATCTTGACATGACTTGATTTCATTTGTTATAAAGCTTTGTTAGTCTATTCTTTATTTAATTAGTTTGAAATAAAGTCCTTATAGATACTGTGTTTTTTGGAATTTATTCCAAAAATTATTCTTATTCTTAGGACTAAAGGGCATCACAATCTCCAACTGGAAACAATAAAAAGGTCAGTGGATCAATATAGGAAGGACTGATGTTGGTTTAATAAGATTTTATTTAAGATTGAATGTTCTGTTAGTTTTGCTTTTTACTCAAATACATAAGTGCATTTAAACTATTCTTTTGCAGAAGATTGTCTTGAGTAATTAATAGTACTTAAATTTTTTTAACTTCTTTGACCTGAAGAAAAAGGCAACCTGTAGACAATCTACCTAATTATTTAAAACATACAAATTGAAATTTCATCTAGAGAAATAGCAGACCTATTATCTGTAGGTATATAGTTGTCAATGGACCATTATTTGGCCCAATTCCCTACAAAATATGCAAAAATAAAAATTATCGGAAAATTCATACCTATCGATTTATTTTGTATTTTTTATTTATTTATTTATTTATTTTTTTTTATCAAACGACATATTTTCTACTCCAAATAAATAAGTTCGAGGCCAAGGCCAGTACAAGGATAGAAAGAGCACTAGCTCTTTACATGACAAACAAAAGAGATAAACATGGTCTCATGGCATAGGCAGCAACTAAGGGGGTGATTGTTTATGTAGTGTACAATAAAAAAAACTAATTCAAACTCAAATTTAACACAACTTTAACTCAACTCCATTATTTTCAATATTATTAATATAATAAAATAATATCAACCAATCATTTTTACACATCACATCAACTTTAATTTACTATTCATCCACTCACATAATTTTAACTAACTATCACTTCCAATCATTTTCTCTTACTTTTATATCAAATCAACTTTAATTATTTTATTTTAAATACTATTTTAATATATCCATTAACAACTAACCATACCACTTTTTTTCAAACTTAACTATAATTAATAAAAAAATTAGATTTTTACTAGTTGAACTCATATCCAATCACCCTCTAAGAGCCCGTGAGTCCAAATCTAACTCCCGCTTACTAAATTCCCTAAACAAGGAACCAAGAAAGCATATAAACATATTTTACTTAATGTGGACGAATGAAATCACTAATACAAATGTATCTACTTAATTCGTTACCGCTGAATATATATAAACGTGTGTGTATGTGTGTGTGTCATAGTTTAAAAAACAATAATATACATTGATAAACAAAAAGTCTAATTATTTTATGCATTTAAAATAATATCAATTAAAATTTTAAATATGATAAAAGAGTAAATTAAAACAATTGTATTGTGGAATAATAAAATATAATCAAAATTTTAATTATTTTATGCATTTAGTAGGTGACAAATTGGGGAAATTATGGAGAAGATAAGTGAAAATTTCCAATCCCCAACAAATAGTCAGGGGCAGTTATGATTTAGGGAAGCCATAGCAAACCTCAACTAGTCATCCTACATTAGCTCATCCCACTCTACAATTTCACTATAGTTTCTCCCTCCACATATATGCTTTTAGAGCATAAAAAACTAAAACAAATAAAAAAATATAAAGTTTTCAATCCAACCAACCTAATCGTGAGTCGAGTCGGTCCATCATCTATTTCATTATAATTTGAAAGATGGTAATTCAATTATAAACTAGTTATAGTGTGAGAAATATAAAAATCGTATATGATGCTATTTTTACTTATGTATAATCTCATTCTAATATTACATGGTGATATCATTACGCTATTATAAATTATGTAGCTTATTTTTTTGATAAAATACATCTTAGTTAAAAATAGTGCTAAATACAATTAATCGTTGCAATCACATAATTAAAGAAATCGTACTGATAACTTTTGGTTATCATCTAAACTACATCATATTATGAAATATCATAATTTTTTTAATATGATATTTAAATTATATAATATGCATATATGTTGAAAAATAATAATTAATTTCAAGTACACAAGGTAGAATTACAAAATAAACACAAATACTTGTATGAGGCGGACTAGTTGTTAGTCGATGAATACATCATACTATTTTAACAAAAATGCATATGTATAATATCAAATGTCATACTTTGTTTAGATAATTTTTTTAGAGTATGACATTTTAATTTAAATATATACACATAAATTAAAAAAAATTCTATCAGTAGCTACTCAGTAATAATAAAAAGAAGGTTGAGCAAAGAAAAAATTCAGCAAAAGGCCAAACCTAAAGGCCACCTGTTGGTTCTTTCCATAAACCACCAAGAAAAACCACTGCCACTTGTGATCAAGAATTTGTTACAGAAAACAGAGGAAAAAAACAAAAGAAAAAGGGAAAAAGAAAACTTCAGAAAAATTGCATCTTTATCATCATAAACACACACAAAGGCTTCTTGTCTCTTCTCATCACCATCAATCTCTCCCTTTTTTAT